CAGCTGGCTTCCTACAAGCAGTCAATGGGGAAGCTAGATTTCCTTAACAGCTGTATGATTCATTTAACAACTGCAGTGGTTCACCGTGCTGGTCTATGACCAAATAAAGATTTGACGATGAAGATGATGCAATGGTTCACTTAACAACTGTGGCAGAAAAGGTTGCAAAATAAGGCATGACTTGCTTAACAATCGCCTTGCTTAGCAACAGAAATTTGGGTCCCAGTTGTGACTGTAAGTCAAGGACTACCTGTAATAACCAATAAACTTCCTAACATTTATTGGTTATTACAGGTAGTCCTTGACTTACAATCACAACTTTAAGTTCATATTAGTAAAGTTGGAAAGGACCTTGGAGGTCATCTAGTCCAACCCCCTGCTCGGGCAGGAAACCCTACACCATTTCGGACAAGTGGCTGTCCAGTCTCTTCTTAAAAACTTCCAGTGTTGGAGCATTTACTGCTTCTGGAGGCAAGCTGTTCCACTGATTAATTGTTCTCACTGTCAGGAAGTTTCTCCTTAGTTCTAGGTTGCGTCTCTCCTTGATTAGTTTCCACCCGTTGCTTCTTGTCCTCCCTTCAGGTGCTTTCGAAAATAGCTTAATTCCCTCTTCTTTATGGCAGCCCCTGAGATATTGGAATACTGCTATCATGTCCCCCCTTGTCCTTCTCTTCGTTAAACTAGACATACCCAATTCTAGCAACCGTTCCTTATATGTTTTAGCCTCCAGTCCCTAATCATCTTTGTTGCTCTTCTCTGTACTCTTTCTAGAGTCTCAACATCTTTTTTGCATCGTGGTGACCAAAACTGAATGCAGTATTCCAAGTGTGGCCTTACCAAGGCATTGTAGAGTGGTATTAATACTTCACGTGATCTTGATTCTATCCCTCTGTTAATGCAGCCTAGCACTGTGTTGGCCTTTTTGGCAGCTGCAGCACACTGCTGGCTCATATTTAGGTGATTATCTACTAGGATTCCGAGGTCCCTCTCACAGTTACTACTATTGAGCATGGTGCCACTTATGCTGTACTTGTGCATTTGGTTTTTCTTGCCTAAATGTAGAACCTTGCTTTTTTCACCATTGAATTTCATTTTGTTAGTTAGTGCCCAGTGTTCAAGTCTGTCCATATCCTTCTGTATCTGAAGCCTGTCTTCTGGAGTGTTGGCTATTCCTGCCAGCTTGGTGTCGTCTGCAAATTTGATGAGTTCCCCATCTATCCCTTCATCCAAATCGTTGATGAAGATGTTGAAGAGTACTGGGCCCAGACCAGAGCCCTGGGGCACCCCACTACACACTTCCCTCCATATAGATGCAGTTCCATTGAGGACAACTCGCTGAGTACGGCCGGTCAGCCAGCTACGGATCCATCTGGTGGTGGTTCTGTCTACCCCACATTTTTCTATCTTGTCAAGTAGTAGGTTGTGATCTACTTTATCAAATGCCTTACTGAAGTCCAAGTAAATTATGTCCACAGCATGCCTCTGATCCACTAATTTTGTCACTTGGTCAAAGAATGCAATAAGATTTGTCTGGCATGATCTATTTTTGACAAACCCATGTTGGCTTTTAGTAATGACTTTGTTTGCCTCTAGGTGTTCGTTGATTCGTTGTTTGATTATCTTTTCCAGGATCTTCCCAGGTATTGAGGTCAGGCTGATAGGTCTGTAATTTCCTGGATCCATTTTTTTTCCCTTTTTTGAGGATGGGAACTACATCAGCTCTTTTCCAGTCCTCTGGTAGTTCCCCTGTGTTCCAGGATCTTTGAAAAATATAGTTCAGTGGCTCCGATATCACATCTGCCAGTTCCTTGAGAACTCTGGGATGTAATCCATCTGGTCCTGGCGATTTGAACTCATCTAGGCTGGACAGGTGCTCACTAACCATTTTCTTGCCTATCTTAATTTGTGTTTCTGTTTTGTTTTTTATGGCACTATTTTTGATAGGTTGGTCTGTTTTTTCCCTTTGTGTAAAGACAGATGCAAAAAATGAGTTAAATAGTTCTGCTTTCTCCCTGTTGCTAAGCAAGGCAATTGTTAAGTGAGTTTGTATTTAAATATATAAAGAACCAGTTAATAGGATCAACTTTGTGAGTTATGGTCTAAAGCAGAGATCACCAACTTTCTCGGTTGGTGGACCGGAAGGAAAGGGATGGGGGAGCATTTTACATGCATGTGCACGGGGCCGCGAGCATACTCATGATGCAAACGGGGCGGGGCTAGCGCCCACGTGATACTAGCCCTACCCCATTCTTGCATGGTGCGACGCCCTGTTTCCACACCCTGTGGTGCAGCGGCATCTGTTTTTGTGCACCTTGCAGCACGGCGGCAGCCCGTTTTTGCGCCTCGAGGTGCGGTGGTGTCCCATTTTCACAGCCCGAGGTTTTTGAACCCTGTGGCACTAGCGTGAGTTGGGGTGTGTGCGTGCACTGGCCAGCCTGTCCCACAGCTCGGTGGTCAGCAGGCCATGGCCCACTATTGGGGCCCGGCCCACACTTTGGGGACCCCTGGTCTAAAGATTGATGTTTACTCCTAGATAGACATTAGAATTCTGTGCATACTTAGAAAATGGAAAGTCTTTAATTTCTGAACAGAAATATATAAAAATGCAACGTTACGCTTTCTGTTAGAATTTATGCAAATTGCACCTTTCTCTTTCTGATTTTTAAAAAACTGCAACGTTGTAAAAATGGATGTATTCATCATAACATAGTAAGCAAGTAAGATAGCAAAATATTATTTGCTGCTTGGAAATCAGTCTAAGTGAAACTGATTGCACTTAGGATGATTGCACTTCAGATCTTTTATAAACATAATCTGACCAAACATTCTCTGTTTCAGGATCACATTCTAATTGAACTCACGCATTCAGGATTAAAAGATTCCGTGGATGTACAGACTTTTGACGAAGACCCCTATCTTGTAGTTAATCCTAACTACTTGCTGGAAGATTAGAGACTGAGCGAGCAGTGCTACAAAATCCATTTCATACCAGTGAGATAATAGCTCATCAGTTGATACGCATCAGTTGTAGATAGCTGACTAATCCGAGATTTATCTCGGAATTCGCCTACCTTGCCTTTTTAAATAATCTTTTATAGAGATAAAGGGAGGAGTTATATAACTGGCTAAAGGAAGCTATTTTTTTTTTAAAGCCGCCATCTGCTTCTTCTATATTTTACATTTTTAAAAATCTTATGCAGTAGTTCAGTTGTGCAATCTTACTCTGTAAATCTCTTCTTATTTGTGTCCAATAAATTAAAAAAAAAAGTTCACTATGTATGTATTCAGTTTCAAAATGAATTGTCTATGCGTGAAACGGAAAATACATTGCTTCACACTTGGAATAACATTTTCAGGTTGGAATTACTAAGATAAAACACATTGTTAAACTAAAAACAGCCAGGTTTTGTTTTATGTTTGGAGAGACAAGGTTCTCAAAGCATGTGTGTTGTTCATCCAATCTCAGAATGCTGAAAAAGGGCCCTCTTAAGTTCAGGGGTTTCATGGTCAAAGCCTTATATTTCTGTTTTATTTTATTTATTCAATTTTTATAAGATTTTTTGCACATCCCTGCATGTTGATCTAGCTGGAGCATTAGTTTTAAACATCAATTTAAAATTGAATTTCACAGTTGTGATGCTCCAATATTATTACGATAATTTAGGAATAGGCTAATTTTGTTATTTAGCCTTGATCAAATGGAAAGAAATTCATACACACACACACACACACACACACACACACACACTGATTAAGATGTAAATGGAATCTAATTTTAAAAAAAGGTACGTGATCCTGATAATCCAGGTTGGCCCATGCTACAAGGGTAGTTTTGGTTCTCACACATGGCACAATTTTTTTCTCCAGAAAATCTCAAGGTGTGTGGGGTTTTTTTGTTGTTTTTTGTAAAAATGGATTTTTAATGTTGAAAATACCATGTTATGGGAAAGGTCATAGTTTTCTGTGTGCTTTAGAATCCAGATGAGATAACCAGATGTTGAATCCTCTGTATTGATTCTAACCCTCTTCTGTCTATGGAGATTCTCAGTCATCCAGGTCATAGTTATCCGAAAAGTGCTTTTTCACGAGGCAACTAAACTTGTTTCTTTTTCTTTTTGACAACCACTTCATAAGCGCATGGCACAACATAGGAGAACAAACCCAACAGGACAAGATTCAGCAGTCTATCTGCATTTAAAAGACAAAGACCACTTTTTCGAAGATAGCAACGTCCACATTTTGGACAGAGGACCACTGGTTTGAAAGGGGTCAAAGAGCCCATCTATGTCGAAATTGAGCAGCCCTCTCAACAGAAGGGGAGGAATACAGCATCATCCATCTCCAGTCATTTCAGCAGTTCCAAGAAGGCTCCACATCCATTTGCACTACTCAGGTGACCCTGAGGACACAGCTAAACTTCCAAGTGGCCTCAACAACTCTCTAAAAGAATGCAAATGACCAGCTGTCTGCAAGGAGTATAAATCCTTCCATTTCCCCACCATCCAGTCTGAGCTGAAGAAGCTTGGATGAGAAGAGAAAGCTCTTCAAAGAAAAAAACAAAGTCCAGTTGCCTCGTGAAAAAGCACCTTTGGGATAGTCATCTTCTGATTCTTTGAAGCACAATTTGGATAAAGTACTTAGGGATGTTGCTATGAATGTACCAAGTACATCCCACAAAAGTTACATTGGCATTGTTGGCTGTTATCTTTGCAACATCTGCCTTGACTCCATTTGGATGGCTGGTGACCTATGGACTTGCAGTATATTAATAAGTAATAAGTTCTGCAAACTAAGCTGCATTCTTAATGCTTGCTTCCTATCTTTAATCAAAGACGTTCAGAGAATTACACCTTTCATGGTGTTATTGTAGTACACCACAGTTGGGCACCTTTGTTATCTTAGCAGTTATAAAAGTTAAATGTTAAATTTTATGATCTCTGATCTAATATAAAGGCGGCATGAGTCCTTGTGCTGCAGCTTCAAAAGACATGGAGCTAGTTTATAAAATATGTTTAGTTTTTCTCTTTCCTTTTTCTTGCTCTGGAGAAGACTGGAAATTCGGCCATGGTCAAGGGCATATTTATATAGCAGGGCCTCTTTCTGTTGAGTTAATGAATACGTTAAATTTCCAAAGCTGTATGGGAGAATCTACATTTCATTCTGCAGTAGAAGCTCAGCTAGATTGTCTTTGCCATCAACAGTCACTCGCTTCTTTGTCGTCGCACTTTGCCAAACTCCGTGCAAATGGTGTGACGCATTTTAAGGTGGCCTTGCCATGGTCTCGTATCCTGCCAGAAATGAAGGCTCGAAAGCCCAACAAGACAAACGTGGAATGCTACCGACAACTTCTCAGAACTCTCATATCTGCGGATCTTAAGCCGATTGTGATTCTGCATCAACATAGTTTACCAAAATCTTTAGGCACCCAGCCTGGATCTACCACTTTTGTCAATCTTTTTGCTGAATATGCAGACTTTTCATTTAGGACTTTTGGTGAATTAGTGGACACCTGGATCACTTTCAGCCATTTGCCTGAAATTATCAAGGAATTGTCTCCTGAGGATCCGAAAGTCTTTCCTCTACAGATTCTGGTTTCAGCACATCAAAAAGCTTATAAAATCTACCGTGAAAAATATTCATTTGAAGGTAAAAGAATGAATGAATGAATGAATGAATGAATATGAGTGAATGAATTGCAATTTTGGACAACATGAATTTTAGAGATTGGAGCATATAGAATAGGTGAGTGCAGTACTCTCGTAAGTTAATGCCACATATTCTAGGAAGTATCACAAGGTGGAGTCTTTTAAGACTAGCAGAGTAGTCTTAAAAGTAAAGGGTGAGCATTTCGAAGAGAATCCTATCGACCTCAACTCAGTTGAATTGCTGCCTTCTTATCTGCATTCTTATTCCCACACAGACCACAGTTTATTTTCCCTAGCATTTGTCTTTAGTGAAACTGACCACTCTCCTTGATGTATTCTTCCTGCCTGCTTTAGATTTCTGGGAGATAATTTATATCGTGATATTGGCATGAATGAAAGATTTTTCATCCACAAATAGGGGTAGGGGTGGGGGGAAATGAATTGAATTAGGGAACATGGAAAATTGCCTAAATCATTATTCCTTCCATTAAGTCAATTATATTAAAGTTTTAACATGTACTTTATATGGGGGGGGAGGGGGGCATAACTCCAACTGGAGTAAAAAGCAGTTCCCTTATTCCCAAATGCAGAAAGTCAAGGAAATGCTCATTTGGATTGCCAAATGGGGGGGGACCTATCCCCAGATCATATTCTCAGTCTAGCTCAGTGGTTCTCAACCTGTGGGTCAGGACCCCATTTGGGGTCGAATGAGCATTTCATGGGGGTCACCAAACAACGCAGTCCACCATTTCCCCCCCCCCCTTTTCCTTAGCTGTGCTACTCCCTTTTATTCTGTTGGCTTTTGAAAGCCAATAGAATAGACTCTCTTGAATAGAGTCTAATTCTATTGGCTTTCAAAAGCCAATAGGAATTGTCCAGGCTGTCTCTGCCCTGCTGAGCCCGCCAAAAGTCCCATTCTGCAAACGGTGCTGCACCAGTTGAGTAGTCCTTGACTTACGACCGGTTGGGGGTTGCGACAATAAAAAGGTTGAGAACCACTGGTCTAGCTGAAACTTCCTCTTATCAGAATTTTTTTGCATTGTGTGTGTGTATGTATGTATGAAAGATTTCTTTCTCCCATATTTGAGCCGACAGGGTGCATCAAAAAAACACTCAAGGTAAGATAGATAGATAGATAGATAGATAGATAGATAGATAGATAGATAGATAGATAGATAGATAGATAGATAGATAGATAGATAGATAGATAGATAGATAGATATTCTTTCTAGATGACCTCATCAAGTTCCAAGAGTTCAGTGTACATCCATGCTTTCTGTCTTTTCTCTGCCTCTTTTCTTCGTAAATACTACTACTATCCTCTATCCAGCTGTGTACTGTGGATGTTCTAAGACTGAGGTTCTCATTGCACTTGCCAATTTTAACTTCTGGTGGATCCTGGACCAACGGACCACCACACCGTCAATCGGGTGTGAAGCTTTGGTTCCTCTGTCAGCTCCCTCATTTTTCTTTGCTATGTGAAACTGTGAGCCTTCCATTTGATGGGAATGCTGGCTCAGGTTTCTCACCACTTACACGATTGTGAGTGAAATCTCCTTCCATTTTTACCTAAGCTACTGCCTCCAAAATAATTCGTTCCTCCTTTGCTATTTAATGTCTTGCCTTTCTTAAATGTAAGCTGTTTGTTTTCTCCCATGATTATCTCAAGTCCATCAAAGCGGGTATTCCCATTTCCTATCCCACTCCCTACGCACCACAGGCACAGACGCAAGCACACATCCTGCTAGTTTTTGAATAATTCACTAGTTCTGTAATCATTTATTCATTCATTCATTCATTCATCCATCCACCCATCCATTCATCCATTCATTCATCCTCTAGTGCTGCCCAATCCTCAAGACTATCTGAAGACTCCTAATTGCTTAAATACTGGTTCTTTCTTTCCATACGTTTTTCTCCTTGGATTCTGATAACAGGGTATTTTTTTTCCTAATTTTTCAGGTGGAAAAGTATCCATTTCCTTGGACTTTAGTGATAATCAGCTGGTTCTTCCAGAATCATTCATATCTTCAGTTTGGGTAATGTGTTTAATTTTCTTGGAATCAGATATCTTCAATTTATAGCTGGGGGGAAAAAAAGAATTCTAACTCACAAAACATACAACACAGAATTGCCCAAAGCAAACACCACTCATTAGCAGTTCTTGTAGCCTGTTTGAGATTGTCCAACATCTGCCAAGCTGAAGACCCTCTTGGAAAAGAATATAGCACAAAACATTTTGTTCTGTATCTGTTGCCATTATGGAATTCACAGCAATTAGTTACAATGGCCAGTAGCCTAGCTAATCTCAAAAGGGAATATGATACATGTATAGAAATAATCCCATGAAAAGGCCATTAGTTATAATGACACTATGGGAATTCCAACCTTTGAAGTCTGGCCTTTGGGGAACAGAAGAGGACTTTTCAAAAAATTCAGGTTAGCTGAGCAATCTTCCTAAATCTGCAAGTATGCTATTTTAAAAAGCAAGATGCTGGCTCAGATGAATCCAACAAGACTTTAATATTCTCAGAATATTCAGAATATCTTCAGAATTGATCTTCATTCAATTTTTTTTCAACTATTGTCTTCTATATAAGAAAACATATGGGAATTATCAGTAAGTCATCTAACTGAATGCATGTGATGTTTTTGGTTTCCAGGGGGAACTGCAACTGATCCCTGTCTTCACAGCTGAAAATTATATCCCATACAAATAATGTTAGGGGGTGGCAAGGCCTATATCAGAGATAGCGAACCTTTGAGAGACCGAGTGCCCAAACTGCAACCCAAAACCCACTTATGCATCGTCGGGTGCCGGGTGGGTGTGGCCCACTGGCTGGGCGTGGCCCATTGGCTGGATGTGGCCAATTGGGTGGGTGTGGCCCATTGGGTGGACGTGGTAACGGCAGACTGGGTGGAACTAAAAAGTTCAATCAATCAATTCCAACTTTGCAAGATCTTTTTTTTTCCCGCGAGAAGTTGAAATTGACTGATTGATTGAACCTTTTTTTTTTTTTTGCACATGGCGTTGGAGGCGTAAAGCGAAAAAATTTTATAAAACCCAGCTGAAGACCTAGGACTGGGACGACGGCGCGCATGCCCAGAGAGAGGGCTCTGAGTGCCGCCTCTGGCACCCATGCCATAGGTTCGCCATCACTGGCCTATATCTAGATGATTATCCTGATGAATGTTCTTCCAGAGGTATAGCTGCAGAAATGATTGCAGATGTTTATGGCCTCTTCATAACAAGGTTCTGTTTCATTTTAGGCCTCCGTAGATTTTCTGTCTCTCAGCTTACGGTACAACTGTAAGAAGGAAGCAAGTATTGAAAAGATGCTAAGTGAAATCAAGGTAATTCAGATCAGCTGCACCAATTTACTTTGTGGTATTTTGCGAACCATCTCTTGAATGGCCTTGGTGATATCTCAGGGATTGCCAATATCTCAGGGGCTGCCACAAAGAAGAGGGAATCAAGCTATTCTCCAAAGCAGAACAACAAGCAACGGATGGAAACTAACCAAGGGGAGAAGCAACCTAGAACTAAGGAGAAACTTCCTGACAGTTAGAACAATTAACCAGTGGATCTACCTGCCTCCAGAAGCGGTGAATGCTCCAACACTGGAAGTTTTTAAGAAGAGACTGGAAAGCCATTTGTCTGAAATTGTATAGGGTTGGACTAGATGACCTCCAAGGTTCCTTCCAACTTCATTACTATTATTATTATTCTTTTTGTTGTTATTATTATTATTTCAATGCAAACTTTCTGCATGCCTCTGAATCAGCCTTCCTCAATTTAGCGCTTTTCAGATATGTTGAACTATCAACCTCTCTCCTAAGGTTCTGTAAGCGAACACATCTGGGTGTGATACGTTGCCTGTCTGGGGAAACCTTAACTAAGTTCCCCTGAATAAATGTGAGTGCAATTTGGTGCTAAGCTGGCTGTTCATCTCCAAAACAGATACACTACAGTTAATTGTACACAAAGTTGCCTCAGAAACAAGCCAAGAAATTTGCCTGAATCTTGCACACCGGTCAGTGCATTTATTTGCAAATAAGATCTATGTTTATTGGGTCTGCTCAATGGAATAGAAAACTGTAGCCTTCGTCTAAGTAGGTAATAAATCCAGTATGTATATTCTGATATTCTAGCCTCCAAATCTTTCCTTTTGATCAATATCCATTTCAGTTTAGACTACCTATTTTTTTTAAGCGTGCATGAGAATGAGTCTTTAATATTGCCCTTGGTCTAAATGGGAAGGCTTTTTCAATTACGGCCCATTCTAATGTGCTGTCTGAGGATTTTGATCAAACATAACAGGAAAACTCAGGGTGAGGAAAGATGCTGATGGAGAGTTTTATTCATACATCATTAATCACCAGCATTTACCAAATCTTTCTACAGCTCTCAGGAGAAGCAATGTTGCCTTTTTTACAGGGACTAATTCTCCCTTATGTAAGATTTGATTGATTGGTTGATTGATTGATTGACTGATTGATTGTCAAGTCATTCAATTCCTAGCAACACAGATTTTCTCCAGGATGATCTTGACTCTCCCTCAAGGCTAACACATGTCATAGCTTAATATGTTTTGGTTTCAGCATCTCATATATGATAAGGATGTTCTCCTCTTCACTCTACACTTCTCTGAATGTTCTTCTGTTCGAGAAAACCTACCTACAACAATGGCTTCCATTTTCAGTGGTATGTTTCTTGAGTGGGAAGGACAAGTGGTGCTTTTGTGTGGCATAGCTGCATATGGATTAGAAAGCAAGGGAAATATAGCAATTTTCTTCCTGCACTACTGCAAATGAGAATGCTATTTATTTCAGTGGGAAGGGGGAAATTAAATGGAGGCTTGTGGTTGAAAGCAATAACATCATATTAGAAGATAACCTTTTTTAAGAGCTGCAAATTAAGCAATTTCTCTTGGGTTTGATGGAGGATATTGCACATAGCAGAATGTTTTAGACCTCTCTTGCTAAAGAGCTGATATGCCTAAGAAGGACCAGTGGTCAAACTGAAAGTTCTTACTTATTCTTGATTATCTATTTATTGCATTGATTCTGTTCTCTATTTTCCAACCATATATGAAGCGGACGCACAGGTGAAAGGCTATGATGTGAATTCCTTCTTAGAGAACTTAGCCATTCCAAAAGGAAGGTATGAAATATTAATTTTTATCCTTGTGTGTGATTAAATAAAGTGCATGTTTTTTCCCCGCAGTCTTTATATGCCTCTTATAATAAATATTTTGTAAGTGCAAACATTTTGGTCAGCAACTTATAATGCTAGTGCAATAAATCAAAACTATATTTCGTATTAACTTGAGAAATCCCGTGCTTGACAAAAACTGTGTTTGTGACTTTAGGAGTGCTATATAAGTGGCCATTGTAGTTTTAGGTAGCCCAACTGTTCTAGACTTAAAATGTTTTGGAAGAGCAATCTGGCAGTTCAAGAGATGGCAAACACCATATTGCCTAAATATGTTACATCTATTCTTAACTTCATATTGTGAGGATAGTCTGGCTGCTTTATAAATAAGGAACCCTGGGATTCAGCTAGGAATTGGGAGGGGGAGAACCCTACTCTTAAAGCCATAGCTCTTTCCCCAAAATTTTGACTACAGCCCTCTGCTTTCCTCCTAAAGTACCCCTGGGTTGTCGGATCATGAGAAGTCAGTCTTACAACTCATTGCTGTGTATTGTTTGACTATCTGATAACCGCCTGTCTGTTAAACACTATCTGCTCTCAGAACCCTGATGAGTTGTTATTCATACTGCTCTCATAAAATGGCTTCCCTATATTAACCAGATCAAGAAAAGAGATTGCTGACATTTTGCCCAGTTCTGAAATAGCTACTTTCATCAACAGCATGTTTATGGTATATGTTGTATCCTGAGCCTGCAAAAGCAGGCTCGGGACATTGCATTGGTCCCGGGCATTCCAAAGGCTGCCCGGGACCAGACTGAGTGGCACCGGCCTTGTGCGCATGCGCAAGGCGCGAAAACGCCCTGCTACTTTGTTGTGTTTTTTGTCCGGGTCTCTGGTCGCTTAAAAGAAGCCTGCGTGCCTGTTGCTCTCTGTTGGAGTCTTGTTAAAAAGGAATAAAGAGTTGTTGAACTTTGCCGTGTTTAGTCATCATTTGCAACCGAACCGAGTATTTAACAGTATATATGCTCTCCTTTCCAATCTGGTGTATGCATCACGGACATTGTTACTTTCCAGATGGGCTGTATCAGCTCTCTTGAAGCCCTGGAGCTGAAGATCAAAATCTTTGGAGGTCTTCAGATTCAGATTCAGATGTAGGCTTCTTTTTATTATGTGTCTGTGCCTGTGTGTATGTTTATCTGTATGCATACATACACATACACATGCATGTGAAGACATTCCCATGTGCAGACAAAATATAAGCCAATATGGTTTGAACTTTATAATATAAACATCTCTCTTACCAATGAAGAGGTATTTTATTTGTCCAGCAGACTTTCTACCTGTTAGTCTGATTTATAGAGAGAAATCTAGACTAGTCATCAGAATGACCAACATGCATCATACTGTTGGAGACAAATTCCACCCCTTGCATACATGGGTGTAATGTCATGATGCATGTACAAAAGGACAGAGTTTGCATTGAGGTATCACAGCAACAATTCAGCACTTGCTTTGGATTTCTTTATTTGTGGTATGTTTTATGAAAGTCTATATACTAAAGATGGTTCTTGTCCTAAACCCTGGACGATTCTCACAACAAATATGGTTTTCACAACAATTTTGCATAACACAATCTATATTTTGAAATTACTTTCCAAAACTTGAATGATTTGAATGAATTCCTTTGAAATGAGTCATTATAAAAAGTGCAGCTATTGATATAGTCATGTGTCTTTTAAAGCTCCCACGAGGATCCAGCTATTCCATCCAAGCAGAAGGAAGACTCCACCCGTGCTGTGACTCTGCTTTCAAACTATCAAAAGATTTGGGAAAAATTTGCTAACCAAACTGAGCTGGAAAGAGACTCTTTTTTGACAGATACTTTTCCTCATGGTTTCCTCTGGGGTACATCAACAGCATCTTTTAAGGTGGAAGGAGCCTGGGCAGAAGATGGGAAAGGAGAGAGTATCTGGGATCGGTATGGATATCAAGGCCAAATCCATAAGAATCAAACCGCCAACATAGCCTCTGATAGTTACCGCAAGGTTGAATATGATGTTTATCTGCTTAGGGGCCTTTATCCCAAGATCTACAAATTTTCTATATCGTGGCCTAGGATTTTTGCCAATGGAGACAAGAGCAGCCTGAACCCTCAAGGAGTGAGTTACTACAACAAGCTCATTGACAGCTTGCTGGATTCTGGCATTGAACCCATGGTGACTTTGTTCCACTGGGACCTTCCTCAAGTGCTGCAGGACATTGGTGGCTGGCAGAACGAAACCATCATTGACGCTTTTGCAAACTATGCCGCTTTCTGCTTTGCCACTTTTGGAGATCGCGTCAAACTCTGGATTACCTTCCATGAACCCTGGGTCATTAGCTATGCTGGCTATGGTACAGGACAGCATCCTCCAGGAATCGTCAGTCCAGGCGTAGCATCCTATCAGGTACCAGAAGCAATAATACTTGCCCTAACTGAAAGGTTGAAGACGAACAAGAGGTCGTTGTTATTTGCTACTTAATCTGAGGCTTGAGTTGATTTACATCACCTATTTAAAAATTTGAAAAGAAGAACGAGAAATCCAAGTCTTGAAGGCGAAGATCAAACTGCTAGGCATTGAAGAGAGAAGTGGGCAACCAGTGGGTTGCACATGGTGCCAATTTCTCCTTCATGGTCCCCAGAACACCCTCAGAACCTTCCACATGTATCTGGAATGGAAAGAGCCAAACTCTTAAACCCCGTTTGGCCTATTGTAATCCATCTGCTTGCTATGGAGGGTCCTGTCTCTGTGCTGAAGCCCTAAAAAAAATGGGCTGAGAAAATCCTTAGATTTTCCTTCTCAGAATATGGTTAGTCAAGGCTAAATCAGGAACCTCAGTAGATGAACAATAGAACTTGCTGATATAATATCCCCTGGATTAACATTTTTTTCGGATCCCTTCTTGCCAGAGACACTAGCACCTGAATTTGTAACTTCTAATAAAATACTCCGTGGAGTAATGTCTACTGATTTTATTATATGTTTCTCTTTTCCAACAGGTGGCTCACATCATCCTCAAGGCACATGCTCGAACTTGGCATGTTTACAACAAGCAGTATCGTCCCCAACAGCAAGGGAAGGTTGGCATAGTGTTGAACTCTGACTGGGCTGAACCCCGAAATCCCAGATCTCCCCAGGATTTGAAAGCAGCCGAGCGCTACTTGCAATTCATGTTGGGTTGGTTTGCTCACCCAATATTTGTTAATGGTGATTATCCAGAGATCCTGAAATCCCAGATTGAGGAGACAATTAAGCAGTGCTCTGCCAACATTGCCAAACTCCCCACCTTCACCAGCGAGGAGAAGAAGATGGTGCGAGGAACAGCTGACTTCTTTGGCCTTTCTCATTATACTTCTAGGCTTGTTGGTCCTTTGGATAACCAAACCTGTACTTCGGATTATGAGACTATTGGAGGCTTTTCCCGAGATGTGGATCCTTCTTGGCCAACAACAGCTGCATCCTGGCTGTATGTTGTGCCCTGGGGGTTAAGGAGATTGCTGCAATTTGTGTCTGAAGAATATACAAAGACCAATATCCCCATTTACATCGCGGCAAATGGTGCACCTATTGATGATGGAGCCGATTTGATTAATGATACCGCCAGGGTGGATTACTATCGTCTCTATATCAATGAGGCCTTAAAAGGTACAGAAGGTTTTCATGTTGAGTGACCGAGAGCTTGGGGAATATTTTGGCTCTTTCACCAGATGCTAGTTGTTAGCGTCCACATGTTATTTATCTGATTAGGTAAAATTTGCACGTCTTCTTGAGTAACCCAAAGATCAGACATGCAGTCCCTATAGCCTCAAAGATCATTCTGCTGAAACCCCTTGGCAATGTAACCATTTTAGGTGGCATGATTTTTCTCTCTCTTCTTAATAAATGCACTAAACATCTGCTAAGTTTAACCCACCTATTCTGTTTTAATCAATTTCACATACCCTCAAAACAGATGTAAAAATGATCAAATGTCATTTCATATCTCCCATGCTTTCAGGAGCCAAAGCATTAAAACATATACAGAGTGCGGTTCCAGTTACAAAGGCTTTTCCAATAAAACTGCCAAGAGGTATTACTTCACGTTCTAGAGCAGGGGTCCCCAACCCCCGGTCTGTGGACCAGTACCAGTCTACAGCATGCCATCAACCAGTCTGCACAAACAAGCAAAGCCCCATCCATGAGATGCAGGCAGCATATAAAACCACGCCCCCTCTGGTCCGTGGAAAAACCTCTCTCCACGGAACCGGTCCCTGGTGCCCAAAAGATTGGGGAACTCTGTTCTAGAGTGACTTGTTTTCAATCACAGCTCTGGCCTTCTTTAAGAGAGTGCCTCATTGCCTCCAATTAAAAGCATCAAGGCTGGGCAACTTACTTGACTTTTACACTTTGGTGGAAATGTCTTCTGCTCAGAAGATTGTTCCAGGCTAGTGAAATAACTGGTTTGATCAAGTTCTTTGATCAACCCATTGTCCAGAAATGGAGAGCTACTTCACTTCCTAGAGCTGTCCCAGAGAGAAGGATTCCTTCAAGGCTTCATTTTGGCCTGTTATTTATCCTGGCTTAAAACATACAAATCTACTCTTTGCCTTCTAATACCAAACCATGAAAGGTGGGTGGCACTGGCTTGGGGGTCTACTACTAAGCTTCAGGTGGCACAAAGGATTGTTAGCCATCACTGGGAAAGCCAATCTATTGATACAATCAAAGGCCATTTCTCATGTATAGTCTCATGGGTGACAGAAGGCTCAGTGATGCTTGATGGGTAATGCTGGAATGCCTGGGCCTTTGCAATGAAATCCTTGATAAGAGAAGCATTGATGGTCATCTGGTCACTACAGCATTAGTGGATATTTATGCATCCAGGTGAATCAGAGACTGTCGATGTAACGGTCAAAAGGCTTTATTTGATCATGAAGCTTTCGAAAATGTTAGTTCACTTGTCCAGCTGTGAGTTATATATGATACAATCAATTATAATGTTTTTAGCTTCCCTTGTTGAATTAAGAGGTTTACTACCATATCACCTTTTTATGTCTTGTATATCAAAGATATACAATAAACAGGGTTGGCTGCAGTTCCCCCAAAGTCTTGTTTACAATCCCAGAACTTTTCCAAAACCTGATACCAAAGTATAATTTTTAACAGAGGAGTAATTGCATTTCAAACTAAATAAAATTGAATATAGTGCTGGTTCTGTAGGGGAAAGAGTGGCAGAACCTGGGAGTGGAGTTAAAAGAGGGATCAGTCTAGAATCCCTATGTAGCCACAAGTGAACTAAGACCAACCCTCCTTGAATTCCATGGACCTTATGTAACTCCAAGCAGGTACTGTTACTTAAAAAGATTTCTGTGCATAGGCTGTTTAGCAATAAATCAGTTGAATTGGACCTTCGTATGTGGACCTGATCTTCCATGCCTGGTAGGTTCTGATCCTACTGAGAGACCATCTATGGCCTGCACATATTCACATCACTTTGTACAGTGTAGATGAAAGCAGAATAAAGTTGTGGTTATTCTGTGTATTTTACAGGACTGAATGAAAATCTGAATAAATTGTTTGTTCTTTGCTCAACAGCTGTAAAGGAAGATGCTGTGGATGTTCGGGCATATATTGCCCGATCACTGATTGATGGTTTCGAAGGCGTGTCAGGTTATAGTCAAAAATTTGGCCTCCATAACGTGAATTTTGAAGATGCCGATAGACAAAGGACGCCAAGAAAATCTGCATATTTCTTCTCTTCCGTGATTGAAAATAATGGATTTCCTAACGCAAGCATGATAACACATACCCAGCCATTCAGAACGGATTTTTCTATGTTCTCAAGGTTGCCTAATTTGTCAGCCTCTGAAGTCCCATCAAAAGCAAAGATAGTTTGGGAAAAGTTTTCTGGTCAGACTAATTTTGAAAGAGACATGTATTTTTATGATACTTTCCCAAAAGATTTTCTGTGGGGCGTTTCCACTTCTGCCTATCAGATTGAAGGAGGCTGGGATGCAGATGGAAAAGGTCCTAGCATATGGGATAACTTTACTCATACGTCGGGAAAAATTAAGAACAATAACACTGGAGATGTAGCTTGTGACAGCTACAATAAAGTAGATGAAGATCTTTATTTATTGAGAGCTTTAAAGGTGAAAAGTTACCACTTCTCCTTCTCATGGTCTCGAATTTTTCCAGATGGCAGAATCCAGTCTATAAATAGTCATGGTGTTGATTATTACAACCGATTGATTAATGGTTTACTGGCTGCAAATATTACACCAATGGTCACTTTATACCATTGGGATCTGCCTCAAGCTCTTCAAGATATTGGTGGGTGGGAAAACCCTGATCTAATTGAACTGTTTCATAGTTATGCCGACTTCTGTTTTCAGACTTTTGGTGACAGGGTTAAGTTCTGGATTACTTTCAATGAACCTGTCACAATTGCATGGTTTGGCTATGACACAGGGGTCCACCCTCCAAATGTAGAAAACAATCCAGGTGATGCTCTCTATAAGGTTGGTCATATAATACTGAAGGCTCATGCCAAGGTATATCATACATATGACCAGAAGTATAGGAAAAGCCAGAAAGGTGTAATTTCCATAAGTCTCAACATTGACTGGGTTGAACCGAAGGCACGGAAAAATTCCCTCAACGTAAAAGCAGCGGATCGTTCCCTCCAGTTCACTGCAGGATGGTTTGCACATCCAATTTTTAAAAATGGCGATTATCCAAGTGCCATGAAATGGACAGTGGGAAACAGGACTGACTTACAGAAACTGCCAGTCTCCCGGCTTCCGGTTCTCACTGAAGAAGAGAAACAATTTATCCGGGGCACAGCAGATGTCTTCTGCTTAAATTATTATACCACCAGCTTTATAGAGCACAAAACCACCAAGCTGAAATCATCTTCTTATGAACTTGATCAAGAAAGAGTCCTGAAGAAAGATTTGTCGTGGCCAGGCACAGCCCTGGCCGGTACGCCAGCCGTGCCATGGGGACTTCGGAGGCTCCTCAACTGGATCAAGGAGGAATATGGCAATCCACCTATTTACATTACCAAAAATGGAATTGGAATAAGAGCTAAGTCGGATGTGGATGATACCAAAAGGATATTTTATTATAAAACCTACATTGATGAAGCTTTGAAAGGTAATGAAAATAATAATTTATGAAATGTATCTGCCGCCCAACTTCCAACGACTCTTGATAAAGCTTAATAATAGCAATTCAATATCTGCTTGCAGATAGGAAGCATAGGTATATTTTTGGGTTCAGTGGTTGTTGGACGTCCTTCGAAAATTTAGACTTATCGTGGGCTTTTTGACCATCTGGTTGCCAAGGTGGAACATCTAAGTTCCAAGAGGGAATCTTGAGTACTGATTGCACTAATTCAGCTCACCTTTGCCCTTTTCCGAGGAATGAACAGAAGCCCAGAGGCGTTCTTGTAAATAATCTAGAGACTGCTTTGCTTTGCTTTATGCTAGGTATCGATTTAATTTTGTTTTATTAGAAAAACCTAAAGAAAAAAAGAGTACAGCCAAATTTGACACGTTGCTTATAGTCATCTTATTACTCAACTAAATTAATCCAAGCTTTAAATAATGTTGAAAGGGAGCAAAGTACATAGGGCTCAGTGGAATTTACCACTGGCAAAATATCCTTGGTATTGCACCATTAGATAAAAATATAAATTAAGAATGACTCCATTTAAAGTAATGAAATCAAGCGTGCAAACCTAAGCATGCATTCCTGACAGTAAATGCTATTGACCCTTTAGGAATTCAGAATAAAATTATGCAGGATTGTACCAGCTTATCATTTTAAATGCACTAAGTCTGAATTAACTTTTCAATTACTTTTACATCTGAAAAATCATTGTTTTCCGGAACGACCACTAAGTTTTAGTCATGCTTTCTTAGAGGAAATTTCTCATGTATTCTGTGAGATTTTGCCTCCTGCAAATGAGGTTGTTTCTTCAGAGTTCAAAGGGATTTCCTCCCAGAGAAAAACATGTAGGATTGTAGACTCCTGCAAGTTCCTTGGACTGCAAGGCGATCAAACCGGTCAGTCCTAGAGGAGATCAACCCCAACTGCTCTTTAGAAGGCCAGATCCTGAAGTTGAAACTCAAGTAGTTTGGCCACTAATGAGAAGGGAGGACTCACTGGAGAAGAGCCTAATGCTGGGAATGATTGAGGGCAATAGAAGAAGGGGACGACAGAGAATAAGGTGGCTGGATGGAGTCACTGAAGCAGTAGATGTGAGTTTAAATCTACTCCCAGAAGATGGTAGAGGACAGGAAAGCCTGGAAGAACATTTTCCATGGGGTTGCGATGGGTCAGACTTCGCAACTAACAACAACAACAAGCCTTGTTCAACAAAAATTCTGGCCTGCAGTTCTGAGAGTTGTAGATCCAGCATGTCTGAAGCACCAAATTCAGAAAGGCTGCATTTGTGTGTGCTGAAATTTGCATTCTTAAGGTCATGGGTCTTGAAATCTGAGAGTAAATCCCTTGAAATTGCAGGTAAATGTGAGCTGAAGGACAATTTACTTCTAGCTGTTCCCAAGAATGCTACGTATCCTTACACATAAGTCAACAGGAGTGAATCATCAACTCCTTTTCTTGTTTCCTAAGTTTATTTTCTTTTTTAACATTATAGTAAATACTGTATATCCAATACGAAATCAGTCTTTTGATTTTCTATTTTTTTTTTTTTTAGCTTACAAACTGGATGGAGTAAATCTTCGTGGCTTTTTTGCTTGGTCACTTATGGATAATTTTGAATGGCTACAAGGTTACGAGCCAAGATTTGGCCTACACCAGGTTGACTTTGAAGATCCACACAGGCCTAGAACCCCAAAGGAGTCTGCTATATATTATTCAGAAATCATACGTAACAATGGATACCCACTGCCAAAAGAAGATAAGTTCCTTTATGGAGAATTTCGCAAGAATTTCTATTGGAGTGTGGCCACAGCTGCATATCAGGTTAAAAAAAAACATGCCTTGATATAGAACTTTATTAAGAACATTGTGAAATTTGTTGGGAGATTTGTTAGATCTGGCCTAAATAGCCACTGGCTAGATAGCTACAATGCCTGTATCTAGTAGTGGTAGTAGAAAATTAGGGGATTCACCAACCAGACTACCATAAAGAAGGCTTGGAGTGGGAGAAGCATGGGAAATTACAGCCTGGGGTTGGAAGGGTGAAGAGGAACTGGAGAGTACGGCAAAGGAATGAGACTGGCGGAAGGCAATATAGTCAGTGGTGGGATTCAGCCAATTTGCACCAGTTTGGCAGAACCAGTAGCTAATTTTTTGTTGCCCAGGCCCAGAAGGACTCCCGGAAGAAGCATCCACACAGAGAACCATCTGTTCACATATTTGAATCCCACCACTGGATACAGTCACTTTCAAGACTTACTTGAATTTTTGGATGCCAGATGGTTGGGAGACTTGGGCTCAGGCTGCTATTACTAAATGTCAAGTCTTGTTATAATAAGACCGTAATCCTCTGCTATGTGGAAAGGAAGTGCAAACAGACTTGTACATACAACTGTAGCCCAATTTGGAGATATTCCTGTTTCAGAAGCTATAAATCTAAGGAAGGGCCAGAATAGAGCAATGATCCTTTTGGCTATGATCAGATGCTTTGCTTTGCTAGTGGTACTGCTTGTTTACCACCTAACATGCTGGCCAGCACTGTCCTTATCTGAGCTGCTGGATTTGATAACTTGACAGGGATTGGATTCCCCATCTGGTCGTGCTGGGGAATTTCAGTATCGACTCACTCTGAGAGTGGGACTGGTTGAGAAATTCATGGACTACGTGGTAGAGATCAGCTTCTCCCGGGCGGTAATTGGTCTGACTCATGCACGTGACCTGATGCTGGTTCTAGAACAGTGGTGGCAAACCTATGGCACGTGTGCCAGAGGCGGCACTTAGAAGCCTCTCTGTGAGCACGTGTGCCATCGCCCCAGCCCTGCCTCCCCCGTGACCCCCTCCTCACCAGCAGCTCCCCCCAGAGCAGAGTTGCTCCTGGATGTGGCCCATGAGGAGCAGCGCAGCCAAGGACATGACAGCCAGGCAGTGGGGACAAGACTCCATCCTTGTGCCCTGTCGTGTGCAGATGATGCTGCAGGGTGTGGGTGGAGGACGTGGCCAACGTGGCGCTGCAGGGCCACCTGGGTGATCTGTGGTGGGCCATGGAGGTGGTGGGTGGCCCTGCAGGCAGGTGGGCAGGAGGCGGGCTGAGGTGAGGTGGGGGATGGAGCAGGGGCGGGCCCAGGGCAGTTTTTGGGCACTCAGCCTCTAAAAGTTTTGCCATCACTGTTCTAGAATGTCTGGAGAATTCTTTTTTCTAAATTAGCATTTATCTTGATGATGGCGAATTACCGCTTTAATGATCATTCAAATTCCATAATAAAGAAACATGCTTATTAGACCAAATGAAGCTTATAAGAGTAACAGGAATTCTTCTTTTGACAAATTTACTCAAACACCAGAAAAAAAGGGAGAGGAAGGGAAACATGCAACATTGCCAGTTCTTAAACTCTCTCTCTCTTTTTTTTTTTTAATAGTCAATATAATCATACTGCTAATTTTGTCCTTAGCGGTGAGTCATTGAAGTGAGAGCCAGCATGATCTAAGTATTAGTCTAGGGTTGGCCAAAGCTGGGTTCAAATTCGACCCTAAAGAGTCTCTGTCTTTCTCATTCTCTCCGTCTAAATTTACACTCTTTTGATGAGGATCAAATTGGAATCGTATGTATGATTATTGCCTTGCAGGGAAGATGTAATAAACCCAAGATAAATAACTTCCCTTTCTTTAAAGATTGAAGGAGCTTGGAGAGAAGATGGGAAAGGCCTCAGTATTTGGGACCAGTTTGCTCACACGCCTTTGAAAATCGACAGTGATGACAATGGAGATATAGCTTGTGACAGCTACCACAAAATAGAGGCAGATGTGGCTGCCCTGAAAGATATCAAGGTGACCCATTATCGTTTTTCAATCTCCTGGCCTCGCATTCTCCCAGATGGGACCACCAAGCACATCAACGAAGCTGGCCTGAAATACTATGAAAGACTTGTGGATGCACTTCTGGAAGCAAATATCCAACCTCAGGTAAAAACAGCGCGAGATTCCTTACAATCTGCAGCATATATTTGGAAGGGGGAATATAAGATGTTACCTTTCAAGTTGATAATTTGCAATATACAGGTAGTTCTTGACTTACAGCCACAATGGGGACCAGAATCTCCATTGCTAAGGGAAGGGGGATGTTAAGCGAATTGTGCCCAATTTTATGACCCTTTTTTTTTTTGCCACGGTTGTCAGCGAATCACTGAAGTCATTAGATGAATCACACGGCTATTAAGTGAACCTGGCTTCCCCCCATTGGCTTTGGTTGTTGGAAGCCAGCTGGGAAGGTCAAAAATGGTGATCACGTGATTCTAGGATGCTAGGATCATTGTAAATATACTGTATGCCAATTGCCAAGCACCCAAATTTAGATCGTGTGACCATGGAGATGCTGCCAGCAGTTGTAACTGTGAGGACCAGTTGTAGGTCATTGTTTTCAGTGTTATTATAATGTCAGTCAAGGACTATCTATAGTCAAGGTTGGATATACAATAGTCAGAAGAAGGCTGGGTATACAATCTCACAAGAACATAGCAACTGTGAGAGGGACCTCGGAGTCCTCGTGGACAATCACCTAAATATGACTCAGCAGTGTGCTGCAGCTACCCAAAAAGCCAACACAGTGTTAGTCTGCATTAACAGAGGGATAGAATCAAGATCACGTGAAGTATTAATGCCACTCTACAATGCCTTGGTAAGGCCACACTTGGAATACTGCATCCAGTTTTGGTGACCACGATGTAAAAAAGATGTTGAGACTCTAGAAAGAATGCAAAGATGATCAAGTGGCTGGAGGCTAAAGCATATAAGGAACGGTTGCTGGAATTGGGTCTGTCTAGTTTAACGAAGAGAAGGATGAGGGGGGACATGATAGCAGTGTTCCAATATCTCAGGGGCTGCCACAGAGAAGAGGGAGTCAAGCTATTCTCCAAAGCACCTGAAGGCAGGACAAGAAGCAACGGATAAAAACTAATCAAGGAGAGAAGGAACCTAGAACTAAAGAGAAACGTTCTGACAATTAGACAATTAGAACAATTAACCTGTGGAACAACCTGCCTCCAGAAGCGGTGAATGCTCCAACACTGGAAGTTTTTAAGAAGAGACTGGACAGCCATTTGTCTGAAATGGGATAGGGTTTCCTACCTGAGCAGGGGGTTGGACTAGATGACCTCTAAAGTACCTTCCAACTTTATTATTATTATTATTATTATTATTATACATGTTTGTAAGATTTGCACTAATCTTTATTTCCATCCAAATACCTGCTAACAAGCCAAATACAGTATAATGGCATGCACAAAGTCTCTTAATTGACAGTACAAAGGTTACAACATGGAAGCATTTCACATTTGTTGACTGAAACATTATATATTTGTACCCCATGACTTGGCTGTGGTTTTGTAGAAGAGTTTAATAAACCATTTCTCCCAAAGTAATACATTTACTACTTGCCACTACACAGATGACTGGTTAATTGAGCAAAAATGATAGACTTTTGCAAATGCATGTCTTCAACTCTAGATCACCCTGTACCACTGGGATCTCCCTCAGGCCCTCCAAAACATTGGAGGGTGGGAAAATGACACCATCGTTCAGAGGTTTAAAGACTACGCAAACCTCATTTTTCAAAGACTGGGAGACAAGGTGAAATTTTGGATAACTTTAAATGAGCCTTATGTCATTGCCAACCTTGGCCATGGCTATGGAGTGTCTGCACCAGGTAAGGCCTTTTGCCAATTCTTCTTGTTTGTGGGAGGAATACTTTAGAAAATGAGAGGATATTGTTAAGACCTCCGTTGACCCAGGAGTGGGTAGTTTTACAGCTGACAGAGAACCTAAAATTCCAGGTTTAGTCTAATGTAAAGATAGGAAACCTTTAAAGTCTTTCAAGTGTTGCCGAATTATACATTTCGGCCACTTCAATCATCAGGACCAATTGTGAGGGATTCGTGGATTCCTCACCCTTAACCCAGTATTTCTGACTCTTCTGAGTAGAGTATTAGGAACAGGAGTAAGAGGAAGAAATTAATGGAGCTAGTAGGTTTGAAAAAAAACTGAGTAGCAAATCTGTTCTTAGATGAACAAGTTCTGAATTGTCTCTTGGGTATGTTAATCAATCTTGTTAGAATGTCTGAGAAAGTCACAGAAAACATTATCCGATAGATTTCTACAGGAAGACCAGAGCCTGCAAGAGATCATTATAAGCCATATATAAGCCTTTACTTAGCCTTGTTATCTTAGACCAGGTATGTGGCTATGCTGCCAAGCCTATTCAGATTTTCCTAGTTCTTCCTCTTAAGCCAATAGGCCATGATAAACTTCAACTGCATGTATTTTGGAAGTTTGCTGTTCTTTAAGCAACACGAGCTATTCTCAGCAATTTATACTGGAGCATAGGGAAGTATGACTTTAAGGCAGACATGTCAAACTTGGGATGTCATGTGACATCGTGCGATGTATCGGCACTGTTTTGCCATTTCCGGCAATGGGGTGGGCACAGCTTCCATGTGACATGTCCAGCCTGCGGGCTGGCAGTTTGACATCCCTGCTTTAAGGCAAACATGGAAATGAGTTGCAAGAAAACTTCAACTTTAGAGTTTTTAGTTAACCACTGGGGGGGGGGGATTCACACCAGCCAGAAACTGATGTATGTGTCAGAAATAAAACATGATATAATATGTATAATACTTAATTGTGATTTAATTTTTTTTTTGAACAAGGGGATTATTTCTTTAGAATCTACTTTAAATTTATCTTTATGTCAGTGCTACAATAATCAAAGCAATAAAATGGACATCTGTCACCACTTTAGTCTAATATACTGAAAGAAGGGAGGGAAATGCACGTTTTAAGAGGATATCTCCTTGCAGAAATGCAAATAGATTAAAAGCTATGATTAAAATATAGCAATCGGTATTCCTGTAGCTGCAGGGTATCCCATTCCCATGTCACTGTTTTCTCAGGCATATCTGGAAGACCAGGCCGCGCTCCTTACATTGTGGGGCACAATTTGATCAAGGCACACGCAGAAGTGTGGCACCTCTACAATGGGACCTACCGTCCCAGACAAAAAGGATTGATCTCACTGTCCATCAGTATCGAGTGGGCTGAACCAAAGAATCCTCACAAACAGGAGGATTATGAGGCTGCTGAGAGATACGTTCAGGTAATACGGTACCTGTAACAATGAGACACTTCCCCCCCTCCACCCAGTCTTGGGTCCTCAGTTGTTGTTGGACCACAGCTTCCATCTGGTTTGATCACAAATTATATTAGCTAAGGAGGAGATGAGATACAAGCTATCGATAATCAGGACACAGTGTTGAGAAGGTCCACCATTTCATAAATTAAATAATGTTATAAACCAGGGGTGTCCAACCTTGGCAACTTTAAGACTCGTGGACTTCAAGTCCCAGAATTCCCCAGCCACGTCTTAAGGTTGCCAAGTTGGACACCCCTGATGTAAACTCTATCATGCACTCCCAGTCAGGCCTATAGTAGTAATTTGCTTGGTTTTAAAGCCAAAAAGGAGGTGTTCTTCTAATTAAACAAAATCAACAGTAAAATAGTGTGGGTATTCAGTAGGTTTTAGTATCTAATCTGCACTTGGATTATGAAATGTACTTGGATTGTGAACTTTTGAGTTACGGTGTGCTGACTCAGTGGGAATCTGGGAAGAGATGGTTTGAGGAGCTGTTCTTTTGCAAATACTTTGGTTAATGTGTGTGTCACCCTTGATTTCTTGTGATCTCCTGCCACAGTTTTTTGCTGGTTGGTTTGCTCATCCCATTTTCAAAACTGGGGATTATAGCGATCTGATGAAAAAGAGGATACAAGAAAGAAGCACTGGCAAATCACGGTAAGTGATTCAGAATTCACAGCATATTTTTCAGCTGAAGAAGTTCTCAGGGTAGCCTATATATAAAAAAATCAAATAAACCATCACTCTCCACTGCCTTACCTCATAAAAGGAAAAGGAATGGGAGAGGGAAGGAAAAGGAAATCCAAGTGTCAGCTGTTAAAAATGAAACAGCCATTCTTACGATGACCAATTGTATCAACTTCAGTGTGGGAAATGGGTGGGCTGAAGACCTTTCTGCATGTTTCTGAATGGTGGTGAGGTGTCTCCTTGGAACAACCAAGCTGGCTTCCTCAGCCAACTATCATGGTATCCTCTTTTCTGGGGAACCTCAAAAAGCTATGATGGACAAGAGAGTGGGAGAAAGATGCTGGGAGTTGGGGGTGAGGTGGTATGAGGTGAAATGAAATGATGGGAGGAGAGGATTCTTGCTAGCAGAAACAGTAAATATTCATCTCAAAGGTGTTTTTTCAAAAGGCAGCTGGACTACGGTTGTTTTTTTTCTTAAGAAAAAAAAGAAGAAATAAGAAAAAAAAGTCATAGTCTACTTGCCTTTTGAAAAGAGGCATGACCTGGATCAGGGGTCCCCAACTCATACCGGGCTGCTGCATGATAGAAAATGGGCCATACAAACAAGTGAAGCCTCATCCGTGGAATGCAGGCAGTACGTGAAACCTGGACTCTTCCGGTCCGCAGAAAAACCTCTCTCCGCTGAACTGGTCCCTGGTGCCCAAAAGGTTGGGGGCCGCTGACCTGGATGACTGAGTATCTCCTTAGATACTAAATGCTCATGAAATTTGTGGAGCCACAGTACTTCAAGAGAAAGCTAGTGTTGCTGCCGGTTCGTTTCTACTACAGCAGGGGTCTTCAAACTTGGCTCTTTTATGACTTGTGGACTTCAACTTCCAGAATTCCTCAGCCAGACACACTGGCTGAGGAATTCTGGGAGTTGAAGTTCACAAGTCATAAAAGGGCCAAGTTTGAAGACCCCTATACTACAGCAAAACCAGCAGTAAATCAACTCAGTTCCTGGTTCTATTCATGAAACTGGGCATATTCAGACCAGATTCTGAATTACCTACCAACATCCTCTGTGGAAATGTTCTAAATATAAGATCAGTTTTCAGGGTCCTCCTTTTATCCTTTTGAGACCACAAAGTACCTACATCAGAATTTATACTACGTTATAAATCACAGAGTCCAGCTGATATAGTAATATATAACCTTGTCAGTTACTTGTAATAAATGTATCATGTAAAAACTTATTTTTCTATTTCCATGTATATTTGTGTTATATGTGATGCAGGCTCCCTGAATTTACTGAAAGTGAAAAGCAAAGAATTAAAGGCACATATGACTATTTTGGCTTGAATCATTATACCACAATCCTGGCATCCAATTTAAATCTTCCTGTAACATCCTACGATGGTGATAGGTAAGCCGCAAGCTTGATTTTCTATTGCATTAAATTATTCATTGTCTAAGAAGTAATCCTAATAAAAACGAAATACAAAGTTAGCCATTTTTGAGGATGAAATTACTGGATTTTATTATTGCACACTAACATTTAACATTATGTTATTTGATAAAATGAGAATCTTCCCATGTTTTGAGAGCCCTTGGTGGCACAGTGGTTAGAAGCAGTATTGCAGGCAAATTCTGCCCACAGCCAGGAGTTCGATCCTGACGGGGGCTCAAGATTGATTCAGCTTTGCATTCTTCCGAGGTCAGTAAAATGAGGACCCAGATTGTGGGCAGCAATATGCTGGCATTGTAAACTGCCCAGAAAGTCCTGTGAAGCACTATAGGATGATATATGAGCCTAAATGCTATACTATTGCTATTTTGAAGCAACTTAAACATCACGTGTTACAGGCACAAAGCTTATATGCCTGTTGCAGAAAAATCTAACATTTCCATAAGACTGTGTAGATGGCTGGTTCTCAAGGAGCCGGAAACTGTTACATATTGATCTTTGGTACACATACGTATTGTTTGTCTAGTATAAAATAAATTTTGTGGATACCTCTAATACTTCCAGCATGTCTGTAAATGGGTATCATTTCTATCAAATAGGTCCTTAAATGAAATCCTAGTGCATAAGTGGCCCAACTCCTTATAGTTACAGTTATCTGTGTCCTCACTTTTGCACTATGCACCTCACTGCCTAAGTGATCAATACATAGATCCTATTACTTGGGAAATCACTGGAATGTTAACTTTAAAAAGAAGTGCAAATACATAAAATGTTCTTAACACTCTATACATTCAAACTAAGCATACTAGTGAAACATCTGGATTTACGCTTTTAAACTTTTCTTATTACATGGACACCAGTATTTTTGCAGATCACAGTGAATGCCAAAATCTCATAAGATTTTATGAGAATGTCAAAATCTCATGACATCTCATAAGACTTTGACCAATTATTTGTTTGTTACTTTCATTTTCACTTGGTCCTGCTCCATGAGCCATTTATAGCAGCAGTTCTCAACCTATGGGTCGCGACCCCATTTGGGGTCGATCGACCTCTTTTCGAGGTCACCAAAGGCGGCGATCCTCCATTTTGTCCCCTCCGGGGGTGCGGCGTGCCTCCGGGGGGCGGTACCACGCACGTGCGCCGCGCGTGGGGGCGGCGGTGCGCCTCCGGGGGCGCCGCCGCGCACACGCGCTGCGCATGGGGCAGCGCCGCACCTCCGGGGGGCGCCGCCGCGCATGCGTGCCGCGCGTGGGGGCACCGCGCATGTGCGGCGCATGTGGGGGCGACGCTGCGCATGCGCACCGTGCGCGGGGCCCCGCCCCATGCGCACCACGCACGGGGGCGGCGCCATGAATGCGCGCTGTGCGCGGGGGCGCCGCACATGCACACCGCGCGCGGGGGCGCCCCCATGCGCACCGCGCATGCGCATAACGTTTGTGTGACGGGGGTCGCCGTCACACAAACGTTGAGAACTGCTGATTTATAGTATCCTTACAGACCACCAGTAATCATTGGAGCATAAAATTAAAAGCCAGTGTTTTGAAACTATGAACTATTTCAACAATAATTCTTGAAGAACCTACATAGTCTTATATATCATGCTAAGTTGTAAATCCTTTTAGAAGCCATAAAGTCTGGGTTAAAAACCAAACAACAACCTGTTTATCTCCACATTGTTTATCTCATAGTGATAAACAACATCGACATACTATTCAAAAAAGACAATCAAAAAGCCCAAAAAGAAATAAAAAGACTAAAACACTTCCTCACTAGCAATCAAAAACCCAGATGAGCAGAGATTAACACCCAGATTAACATTAGATGAACAATCAAGAAGGAAACAATACCCCAATCAAGGAATTAACCAACTCAGCCAAACAAGCTAATAGTAAATAGCCTAATCAAGGAATCACCAAGATCCCTTCCGCCAACACTGACAGAGCAAGCCACTTGCATATAAAAAGAGAGTAAACCTATGCCCTTCTAGCACTGATGATGTTACCTAGGTGGGTAATGAGATGTCTACAAGAAAACAACCAAGCACAGATAGCACCAAAGAGTCCATATATTTATGTTTGCTTTGACAGAGGTGTTGCTTCCATAGTAGACCACAGCTGGCTGGGTTCCGGCTCCTTTTGGTTGAAAGTGACCCCATTTGGCTTCAGAAGGCTCTTAAAATGGATCAAAGAAGAATACAATAATCCACCTATTTATGTGACTGAAAACGGAATTTCTGAACGTATAGATGAAGGCTTGAATGATACCTGGCGCATACATTATTTAAAGAGCTACATCAACGAAGCATTAAAAGGTATGTGGTTTTCCTTCCACAAGCAGTCTCCAAATCCAATTAATCCTTCTTCCTTATCTCTATTTTCCCTGAAAGAGTGAGCATTTAACTAATTTTCCAATGAATGCATTTAACGGAGAAAGAACCTTTGGCTGGCATGGAGATGGGTTTTGAGTACAAAAGTGAGAAATTAAATTCTAAACCCGGTGAATGACTATGGTGAATGATATGGTGCAGAATTTCCACACCGCTTTTGAAAATTTCATCCCTATAGCAGATTTAGTTATTCTGCTCATTGTTTAGCATTGGAACAAGCTAGCTTAGTCATTGCTATTTATTATTTTATTATTTTTTAAATGCTGTATGAGTGTGTTAAATATTGTGTAGGGTATGTAGAGAAAAAAAAACAACTGTAAAAAAAATTAGCAAGAACGGGTTAGCATTTGTAATGTTAAAAATATTAACAATAACAATTTAAATATATATTATGTAAGGAGGCTAAGATCACTTTATCAGGACTACAATAATGGAGATTTTCCTGGAAAGGGAGCTAATTGAAACTAGTTGATCATTTGAGGTTATTTCCAGCTTGATGGCTTTGTTTTACTAAAGGAAGGAAGAGGCTAATGATCAACTACCTCTAATATATAATCAATCTCTCCCTGATGAAAATATGAAAACAGCAAAATAGTAACCATCTATTCACTGCCTATATTCAGCTATCCTTGCTGGAAATATTGGAAATTTTGAGAGGCACTTTGGTTCAGGTGCAGGCCATGAAACCAGGAGACTGTGAGTTCTAGTCTCCTTTTAGGAATGAAAACCAACTGATTGACTTTGGGCCAGTCATTCTCTCTCAGCTTTAATCACCTCATAGGGTTGTTGTTAGGGGGGAAATAGGCGGGGAAAGGAACATGGCATATTCACCAGCATATGTATATGTGTGTGTTTATAGTAATAAAAAAGGACATAGTGTCCTTTCAGTGAAGCAGTCGATGTGATGTGCCGGTGCCTGGAAGATGTGAGGGTCTGGATGGGGGTGAACAGGCTTAGACTCAACCCTGACAAGACCGAGTGGCTCTGGGTCTTGCCTCCCAAAAGTCAACTGGATGGTCCATCATTAGTCCTGGGGGGGGGCAAATTTACCTCCCTCAGTGCAGGCACGCAACTTGGGTGTCCTCCTGGACTCACAGCTAAATTTGGAACAACATCTATCGGCTGTGGCCAGGGGGACCTTTGCCCAGGTTCGCCTGGTGCACCAGTTGCGGCCTTATTTGGACCGAGAGGCTTTACTCACATTCACTCATGCCCTCGTCACCTCAAGACTGGATTACTGTAATGCGCTCTACATGGGGCTACCCTTGAAGAGCATTCGGAGGCTGCAGTTGGTTCAGAATGCAGCCGCGAGAGCGATTGTGGGCGTGCCAAGGTACGCCCACGTGTCACCTATCCTCCGCGAGCTGCACTGGCTTCCTGTGGGTCTCCGGACGCAATTCAAGGTGTTGGTTATCACCTTTAAAGCCCTTCATGGCATAGGGCCAGGTTACTTACAGGACCGCATACTGCCACACAGTTCCCAGAGACCGGTGAGGTCCCATAGATTGGGCCTCCTTCAGGTCCCGTCGGCCAGACAATGTCGGCTGGTGGGCCCTCGGGGAAGGGCCTTTTCTGTGGTGGCTCCGACCTGGTGGAATCAACTTCCCCCTGAGGTTCGAACAACTCCCACCCTGCCAGCTTTTAAGAAAGCCGTTAAAACTCTCCCCGGGGGGGGGGGGCGGGACATGATCAGACTTGCGGTATGATTGAATTATTTTATTGTCTTATTCTCGATGATTGTTTTAATTTTGTACGCCGCCCTGAATCCTTTGGGATTGGGCGGCATATAAATAAAATAAATAAATAAATAAATAAATAAATATACTAGGTTATCTTTTAGGAGCTATTTTTTCAACACACTTTGCATTAAGGTGACTCCCTCTGTATAATTGGCTCTAGGTTTTTTTTTCTGTGTTTACTCCCTCAAGCTGAAGTTTTAAAAGCAGAGCAGATACTTCCAGAGAGGCTGCAACCCAAATCATTCAGGAGTCTGTATTGTGTATGAGTTTGTAATTAAACCTGCATAAAACCGCCCTGTAAAACTCTCTCCCCATCCCTGTTTTATATATAACAGGAGTTGTATTTGATGGTGTTGATCTCCGAGGTTATACAGTTTGGACTTTGATGGACAATTTCGAATGGGCAGTGGGCTTCTCTGAAAAATTTGGCCTGTATTACACCAACCACACAGACCCCAATCTAACTAGAATTCCAAAAGAGTCTTCAAAATATTACTCATCTATTATCCGCTGTAACGGCTTTCCAGATCCAGCTAATGGACCTCATTTGTGTCTTGAACCACAGCCTGCAGGTAGGTATATTAGAAGCAGAAAAGGGCTAGCTTTAAAAGCTATGCTAAGATAATTTAAAAAATATTACTATTTTTTTAACTGTAATAATTGTACCAGTCTGGACACAGTTCTGTATGGTGGTGGTGGTGGGGAAAACGAGAGATTGAGATTCCCAGGAGGAAATTGCAATGCAATGATCAGCTAGTATTGATAGGAAATACTGTCTTATCTGATGCTAAAAGGAACAGTTTAATGAACATCCCTCTAAAAATTAGTCCACATCTATTTGTCTTTGATTTTGGAGCATCTGCAAGAGGAATACTCAAGAGAATAGCCTCGGGGATAGAAGCTAGAATACAGGAATTTTCATTTCTACAACTATGAATCAAAGCCAATGGGTCTTGTTCCTTATACATGCCACTGACAATCAGAATCTTCTCTACTTGAGGCTGGTTTGAGGTCTGTTTTAAAATTACTAGGGCAATTTTTTACCAGCATATTTGGATGCATCAGTTTACAAATCTTATATGATTACCTTTGTAGGTACTACTAAACCACCAGCTACTCGGCCACTTACAGCTGCTACACTTACTAGTAGTCTGCCACTTACAAGCCCAACAGGACTGGAAGATATCAAGAAAGTGCCATTTTTGGGATTGGACTTGACTTCATCTGAAGCGGAAATAGCTCTTTACGTTCTATTTGTCCTATGCTTGCTGGCTATACTAGGGTTCGCTGGTTCCCTCTGTGCATATAAAAAGGCCAAAAAGATTTTGAAACGAACAACATTTTAGCAATCAGGAATGTGTTTTGCTTTATCATCCGAAGACTTTTGAGCCATGCATTTTTGAAGCTCTCTCTATTCGTCTATGAACTTTAAAGTACATCATCGTAACAACGATAATGCATCAATTAGCGATATCGTTTTTTGCACCCAAGATAAAATTGCTTAGGAATTATACAATTTTGGGATATTGTTTTGCTGTGACTATGAAATTAAAACTAGCACTCTCAATGTAATGGGAAACATACATATGTGCCTGTGTGTGTGCAGCATAAAGCACATAGACACGGCAGGCTGTTTTTCAAGATTTCAAGTTAACTCCAAATCTCATATTAGAAATTTTGGAGCGTCAGTATTTAAGTGCATTTCAGAAAAAGAGGGCCATTTGTTCAGAATTTATTTCATAACAAATGAATGGAAACAGGTCCTTGTATGCAAATGTAACAAAGAATATTACCGAAAAAATAGTTAAGAATGACTTCATTTGCCAAGTTTTGCAATTACTTATGAGAATCAAATAATCATAATAAGTACCAGTTGCTTGCCTGTTTATTTACTGTGATGCTAACGCAGACATGTCAAACACAAGGCCCGGGGTCCGGATGCAGCCCGCGAAGTGGTTTCATGTGGCCCGTGAAGCAATCCTGGAAACAGTGAGGGAACGGCCCCCTCTGCCTTGGCCCTGGCCAGCCGGGAGCCAATGTACAATTTGTGGTGGCCATCTGTGCTGAAACGCATTCAGTCTTAGCTCCACAAGGCAGTCTGGAAACAGCGAGGAACCAGCCCCTGCCGCATTGGCCTCACCCCCTGGGTGCATGCTGAGGAGGTGTCACCCATTGTGAGGAATGAAGAAATGCACCATCGCCTGGAAGTGGCCAGCAAATGGCCTTCGCCTACTTCACATATCCTGCTTGACGGGCTCTGCCCTAGTCCCACTCCTTTCTGCCAGAGACCCTCAGATCTGTCCCACTCCTGCCCAGGCCCCCACCAGCACCCTTGACGCAAATGATGTAGAATTGGTCACACCCACCCAGTAGGCCACACCCACTCTATCAACACCCACCCAGTAGGCAGCACCCACCCAGCCCCCCGAGGGCAACCGCAATGCTGATGCGACCCTCAATGAAATTGAGTTGACACCCCTGCGCTAACGCAACTTTTAATTCCACAGAAATCATAGCTTCAAGTTAACACATTCACAATGTGTTTGCTATGATGATGACATAACTGGATTTAGCCAGATAGGTGGTTAGTGAACTTTGCTTACACTTTGATGTGAAAGGGAAAGGGGCAGAATTTTATTGTTTTTCTGTGAAATCTGTCCATTTATAAATCAACCTCAATCCAATCAATGAAAGTTTCTTCACTCCCCCCCCCCAAAAAAAAACATGCCTGGAGCAATTGTAGTCAAAGACTATATAAAACAATAGTTTTGGAGCTAATGGCTAGTGTTAATCCAGCCTTTGACTATGATAGCTCTGCATTTTCAGTGAAGGCATAAAAAGCACCTTTTTTTGTGCTATGGGTAGTTTGCCTGCTATAGCCAGTTCCGCAGTTTCCATGCCTTTTCTCTCAATTGTTCTACTGCACCACACTGCATGAAATAAATATGTAACAGGTATTTTAGCACTAATTATTAATAGCTAGGGTTGAATAAAAGAATCATTATTTATTACTTTTCAAGCAGCTGCACCATTTATTGGGACATCTGAGTTGGATTGAAACTGCAAGCATGTCTCTTTAAAGTGATAACGTCAAGCATTTAAGGACTTTAAAATCTCTTCCAAACACCAGTGGATCACATCAAATCAAATAAGAGGCAACGAGAAAGGATGTTGGTATTGATCCTGTACCAAAAAAGAAGGCATAATAAGAGAAAAGCAGGGCATCTATTTTTGTATGTTAACCCCCTCCCTTTCTTTCTGTGAGAGTCGAAAGCAATGGAGAGTGGGGCACACCTTATTTTATATTTGTAAAAAGACCGTGAACTAGATTGAACTGTTAATCTGAATGTGCTTTTCATTTTTCTGTTGTACTCTACATTTCCCTTTGATTTTTTTCAAAGGTCTTGTCGAGGCAAGAAACATTAAAAATTAATCTGACTCTTCCTGTATTTCTGTTGCTATGTACAAATAAATAGTTGAACCAGAGCCATCAATGTGATACGATATAATCAGCGGTAACCACAGCAGCCACGTTGAATCACCAGACCCGGTCCCCAAATAGGATCCGTTTCCTTCCCAAATCCCCATTTATCCAAGTCAGGAAGACAAGTGGTCATGGGGATCATTCCGTGACGCTCTTTATAAAAAGTACGATACGTCAAAGAACGATCATGTGATGTACCAAAGATTAGGGAGAAAAAACTTTATTGAATGCTGTGAGATAAAAACTATGAATATTGGGTTGTTGTTACAGAAGCATTACAGGAAAAAAAAAACCCTTATCCAATTTATTAGATACACTCTTCTAGGCTGAGTGACTTGTTTGGTATTTGGAGATGCCTACTTGCTCAAAAGATTTATATAGGTAAAAAGTGTCTTTAGAGGACTGCATAAGTAGTAAATATAAAATTCTAAACGCTGATGGGACATGGAGGATTTTTATATTCTTTGTTTTTGGCAGTAGTTACATTTGCAGAATCCAGCTGCTGCACAAGTAGGTTAGCATTTATTCCACATGCTAAGATGAGGAAAAAGGTACGATCCAGGCAGAATAGCCATCCAAGCCCACTTATGCAGCAGAATGTTTTAACTGAAGCTAAATCAAATAGGAAAAAAAAAATCAGTGATTTCTATGTACAGTTTACTCAAACTACATTTGTTGGGTTGAATTTCCATTCCAGGTATTATTGTCATCCTCTCCATCATCCTGAGTTCTCAGTCGGTAGATCTTGCCTTCTTTCTTAAACTCTTCATTCCGTTTTTCCAATACTCGTTTCCTAACTGCTTGTCTGAAGAAGAAAGAAATAAGAGATTGAGTACAAATTCCAATAGTGGCAGAATTCATATCACTATTAACTCTTGATCTAATTTTTTGTCTTTTTCATTCCAAATTTAAGGAAGTGTTCATGAGAGCCAGAAGACTTAACTTGTTCATAAAGCATGGATTCATGTCACAATGTATAGACCAGGGGTAGGCAACCTTGGCTCTTTTATGACTCGTGGACTTCAACTCCCAGAATTCCTGAGCCAGCAGCTGGCTCAGGAATTCTGGGAGTTGAAGTCCACGAGTCATAAAAGAGCCAAGGTTGCCTACCCCTGGTACAGACAATGCCCGAGTTACGACCATTTGTTCAGTGACCATTCAAAATTATAATGCTGAAAAATATGTACTTACAACCCAGGGCCCAAGTTATGGCTGCTGCAGCGCCCCTAAAGTCATGTGATCAACATTTGGGTGCTTGGAGTCCTACCTACACTTGTGACTGCAGGGGTAGTGCAACTCCTCCCCACCCATCACCACCCATCTATGCTTCTTTTGACTGCCCTGCCCCAGTGGCACCCAGCAGCAGGACTGGGGCTGAAGTAGAAGAGCCAAGCCCCAGTTGCTCCCACTGCCTTGTGTTCCACAGGTTCTGCTATGCCAACTTTTGTTGTGTGATTCTCAGTTAATGACAACAACCAGGATGCAGGGATTGCAGTTGCTAAAGTGATGCTGCCATGTAAGTCTTGCTTTATGACCGCTTCACTTAATTCTGGAAATCCCGGTTTCAATTTATGATCATACATTGAGGACCAATATGGTGGACTGCTGACTTATTTTCAAGGCACAAATGAACAGCTAGAATATGAAAATTAAAAGCAGCTATTTACACATGGTACTGTTATCATCAGAGACCATTTCCTGAGAATGGCTTAACTTCACTAGTGAAGATGCAACAAACTAGGACATTATAATGCCAACTGTTTCAGTCCATCCCATGAGATCAGACAGCATAGGCATACTTCAGGGCTTTACATAAAACAACTAGATAACCCATAATCTCTTGATTAAAGTAAAGAATCTTTACCAGATTCTTCAATGCCTTTAACAATGGCCAAGCTAACATACTGCCTACACCAGAAAGATTGGGATACATTCAGAGATGTATCTCCCTTGAAAATGGCCCAAGTTGAACTGTACAGTACAAACATCAGCACAGGAAATGTTTTATGGCATTCTGCATTATGTCATACAATGTTTTACAACATTTGCCATATTTCAATTCCATGGAAGTCATGGGTCCAAAATGCCATATTTCAATTCCATGGAAGTCATGGGTCCAGGATTTTGGATGTATTCTGTAAGTTAGTCCAATTTAGGTACCTTAGTTCAAAAATGGCTCTATGAAGAAGCACCGTTTTGCTTAGTTAATGGCTACAGGAATGAGATTTTTAATACTATGTAAAACACTGCCACCTAGTGGGATCCAGGGGATATGATTATTTTGTTGAAGTGCATGCTCTGTCCAACAGCGTGTGCCCGAAATTCAGATGGCCCTAACCCTATTGGGTTAAGATAAAGTTTCCTCTTTCCAGTCAACTATGAATCTAGAGGAAAGTGCTCATCTCTGTTTCTTAACTGAGGCAGTCAGCATTGTCTGAAGATGCTTCCGTGGTCATGTGGCCAACATGAATATATGGAACACTGTTACCTTTCCACGGAAATGGTACCTATTTATCTACTTGCATTTATAAGGTTTTGAACTGCTAGGTGGGCAGGAGTTGGGGAACGTAACAGGAGCTCACTCCATTGCACAGTGTGCTCAGGTCTCAAACCTGGGTTGTCAACATTCCAGTTGACAAGTTCAGCCTCTTTAACCGCTGAGCCATCGCGGCTCCCTTGGCCTTCCCTAAGGCCTTAAGAACATGCCTTTTCACTCAAGCATTGAATTTCCCATCTTGAATTGGCTTTCTGAATATGCCTGTGGTTTGGCCTGATTGAAAATTTAAAAAAAATGTCCTATGCGGATTGCCCAGAACCACAGTTTGTGAGATGGGCAGCCAGCTCAATTAAATAAATAAATAAACAAACAAACACTGGGTTTTTTTTAGTCCCCTGCTATAGTTACAGTTGGATTTTACAGTTCATGGAAAAAATAAACTAAACTTAAGAATAACATGAAGAGTCAAAAGAAACTTCTACATGAAGGGACTTTAAAGCCTGTCTGCCTTCACTCTTGTTTGTTCTTAAACTCTTCATAATTGGGAGAGGATTTTTTTTTGGGGGGGGGGGAATCACTAGCAGCAACACATTACTATTTTCTCTACTTCATGAGTGGATCGGATTCTTTCTCTAATTTTATATCCTCAGGCTCCAAGTCCATTTCCAAGGACCGCCCTACTGAGTAGAAAATATTTGGAGTTTGTGCAGAAAAGAGGAATCAATACTCTATTCTCGTCAGTCTCTTCGACTGACAAAAAAAATCTTGATGGGTTTAGTCGGAAGTGTTTGTACCTGTTTGCCTCTGCAGTGCTAGGTGCTGAAGGATTTGAGTGCTGCTGTTGATGTCTTGCCGGAGGTTGGGAGGAAGGAGGGCTGGTAAACAAGAAAT